CACCAAAGGTGATGGAGTCAAGATCTTGACTCTGGCCGATATGTACAAGCCAGGGAGGCAAAAGAGCCTCAGGGAGGTTAAGGTAAGGGAAATAAGATAATTTTGAGACAGAAATATCTTTGTTTATGGGTTTTGGGCGACGTGTTTCCCTGAGGGTTCTCAATTCTCGAACCCATTTTGGATGAGTTAATGGTTTGGCAAGTCCAAAAGGAGCTGTGGGAAAAGTTGGAAGGCGATTTGGACAATACATTTCAAAAGGAGTTCTACCTAAAGGATTGATTATTTTGTGGTTCGATCGATTAATGTCCGTTTTATTGGATAAGGAGATAACAGCATCATAATAGGTCGATTCTAATTTCAGTGGGGTGTAACATATTTGATAAAAGTTCTCGAATCGAGATATTTGAAGACAAGTGGAAGTGTGTACCTTTCTTCGATTTTGACTTGTCCCGCAACACAAGAGAAGGTCGAGTAGTCGGCTCGGCGAACTTCATCAAAAGTAGCATGACTACTCGAGAACCAACCGCCCACCATTGAGAAAAACCCACAGTAGATAAATAATTCGAATCGAAAGCATAGGGGTAAAAGTGCATCTGGGTTTTAGGTAAAAGCTTGATAAGCTCCCGATTAAGTGAAGATTCAATTAATTTGGACTTGGGGGATGTATCGAGGGGGAAGAAAGGTAGGGATTGGCTTAGACCAAACCGCCTCGAAAGAAACTCGCGGGTAATAAGTAATAAACTTGAAATCCTTAGGCCGAAAACCCGATAATAATATATCATGGGTCAAATAACTACTCCATATGTCGACCAGCTCCAATTGTAACCCTGGAGACGAAGCTGGGAATTTTGACTTAAACCAAACTGGTCCCCTAAGTCGGCCATTTATTTGTCCAAGATTTACTGTAAACTGGGCCAAGGTCGAATCAAAGGAGGATCTAGTCAACAAAAAGTGGAGGTATTTACAATAGGTAGCCTCATCAGTCTTTTGGCGAGGATGGCGGGAGGATAATCTGGCCCCTTCTATATTTACACTTGGGGGAACAAGAGAAATCCGAGGAAGGATACTTTCAAATATCGAAATTAACCATAATTGAATAAACCAAACAGGCCGTAAAAATTCCCCGATGCCTTAGGGGTACTCAAAATATCGACAGCCTTCGTCGAAAGCAAGATATACATGTGCTAATAAAGTTTTGGCTAAACAAAGTCTAGGGTGGCCTAGGTGAAGGAGATATGCAAGATTGAACAAATGGGGGAAATTTGGATTGAACTGGGGCAAAAAACATGGGTACATAACCAATACACCAAAAATGCTACGTGTTCTTCGTCAAGAATCGCTATCGAGGGGTCATCAACAAAGTGTTTCTCGAGAAAATGCCCATAGGCCTTCGACTCCCAATCAATTTTCGACCTCAATGAATTATCTCGAGGGATATGCACCCGAAAATACCTCTCCCCTATGGGTTTCAACCCAAGTAATAGCAGCTACCTCGAAAAGGGTGGGCGACACAGTGGCCACAAGGCAACTCCAAAACATGTAGGTCTTGATTCCATAAATGCACTCGCAGATAAGAACATCGCCATGTCCAAATGAGACAGTCACATCGGACAGGTGCAAAAATCGAAAATACCAAGCATTCTCCAGTGATCCCCAAACTTAGCCTTGACCCTATCAAACCATCGAATATACAGAGGCTTTTTGGAAGGAGGGCCCGTTCTATACACTTTAGAAGTAAGATTCGTAAAATCAACCCTAACTTCAGTGTTGATGAACCAAAGCCTGACTAGTCGAGAGGTTAAGAGGAGTAAAAATGTCATCGATAGGACTGAGAGGACCCCCAAAAGCAAAATTTACCCCTTCAACAAGATAAGGAATAAGTACCTGCGTCTCAACAATCTTACTGGAAGCCTCCTCCATCGTAGGAACCGGAGCGAACCTCTCGGTTGTTAATCTCCAGCAGAGTTAGATGGCAATGAAGAAAGGGGTGGAGCAGTAAAAGTCGAAGATTTTGATGAGCCGGCCATTGTAGTGAATTTAGGAAAACAGAAAGGGAAGAGTTAACTGATGAGGTAATAGGAACGAAGGCAAGAGCTCAAGGAAGAAGATGAAATTGCACAGTAAGGTAATGGTTCGCGTAAAAACCAGAGTGAAGACTAAGGGAGAGGTTAAGGGTAAATCGTATAGGGAACTCGGAACGATGGAGGTGAAAGGCAATAAATGCAGTAGTACCGTGAAGGCAACAGACCGACGAGACAACGACATAAAGCAAAAAAGAAACCCACAACCCTTTTAAAACCCTAGAACCCCGTAAACCCTAAACCCTAAATCCCGTGGGCTTTCAAACACTAAGGTGGGAATATTGAAAGAATATAAAACGAAATCATTTATATTCTTCCAAGGGGGCATTTTGTTAGTAGCAAATCGAGAAAAGCGATCGAAATCGAAGGGAAGAAATATGACTCGATAAGATAAACAAAAGTTCATTTGATGTCTAATTAGAAATACGTAGCATATAGCATCGAGAAACACAATCGAGAATCGAATGAATTGTAATCAAATGACCGTTGTCAAATAAAAACTAAGTCATATAAGATCAGGATTAAAAAGGAATCGTGAGCAATTCAAGTTCTCGAAAGATATAGAATCGAGAATAAAGAAAGCCAATGGGGACATCGAGATTTTGGCCAAATCGTGAAGGGAAGTAAGTCGAATGCACGTATAGAGAGCAGCTTTTGAAATCATGGGTAAAAGTTGGAGATCGTGAGATCGTGGGAAACTAGAAGATAAACCGCCATACGCACGTAGAACGTGGTAGCAGCCGTATTAACCGCTCTTAGAAGGCTTGAAGGATGCCCTATAAATAGAGCAAAGAAGGAAGGAACAAGGGGAGCAAAAATTGGCAGAGCGCAGAATCGCAGAGTGAAAACGCTCTACCGGAGGAACGACGAACACCATGAAGTTTCGGCAACTGGATTTCCCGCTCACGGAGTACATTTATCGCTTTCTTTATTTTCCTTGGTAATTTACTTTCGAGCCATTTCAATTCAAGCAATTTCATATTCTTGTATACTACATTCAATGTCATTTCGATTTCCTGTTATTTACTTTTTATGCAATCTTAATGGGTTTTAGCAATTTACATTTCCCGCACATTTCGATTTCCTGTCCTTTATTTCTCTTGCAAACTTAATTTCTTGCAAATTTGGGGTTTTCGCATTTTCTTGCAATTTAATACTCTTTTCTCGATTCGATACTTTCATCGCTTTGTTATTCGAGCATTTTAGACATAAAATACCAAAAATAGTATTTCTCGATACTTATAGTTTTCGACTCTCATACACATTTTCGATTGAAAATCAAATTGCTAGCCTAAGTAAAAAAGAACTTACATGGTAGAATTTCGATTAGGACCAAAATACCCTTAGGATCGAAATCGATCAAAATTCCACCGTAAACACAATGACTTGAGTCTCTGGATTAAGAATTTTTTTTATTAAAAATATATAATTATCTTTCTCGAAAACCTGATCCTGGAGGGAAAAGAATATCTTGTGTGATTGGAAGATATTCTCTGTTTTTCCTTTTATAAAAAGGGTATCATCATTTTTTATATCTTCAACTTAAGCCTAAATTCCTGTAGTATGGGATTCCTGTATTCTCCAATCTCTTCAAATATGGAGTAGTATGGGATTCAATTCCCTCTTTTGCCTAAATTCCAAGCCATTAAGGTTTCTCTGTCAACTATTATTTTACAAGTGAAGAAAAATACCTAACATGAATCCACTTTCATATAATCACTAATAAAAAAATAGCTAGGTGAAAATTTTATATATTTTGTATCATGAGACGAAAATTTTTTATCTTATTTTTTTATAATAATATTATTAGATAAATTTTTACATTTAAGATATTATTTGTTTTAGATTTTTAGTCTTATATTTATCTTGATAAATTATTAGAGGATAATATATATAAATTATAATTTGATTTCAAATTTTTAAGTGATGAGACTAATGAATATATCATGACATAAGTTTTTTTATTAAAAATTAAGAGATAATGAAGTAAAATTCTATTCTCAATCTTATAATAAATACTAATATTTTATATGAAATGATATTGTTTTATCTCATGTGTAAAATAATTGAATTATTTATCTTTGTATAATATCATATATTTAAAAATATTTATATATTAGAAAATATATATTAATTATATTTTAAAGTCAAATAAAAATATAAACAGATTAATTCTGAGTTGTGTGACAAATATCCCGAAGACAAGAGCAAATTTATTATTAATATTATTCAATAAAAGTTATTAAAAATATATTTGAATCTGTTGTTCTCCAATCCCATCGAATATGGAGGTATGGTGTGGGATTCAATTCCCCTCTTCCGCCTAAATTTCAAACCATAAAGGTTCCTCTAACAACAATGATTTTAATATAAAAATATAGAAACGTATCCTAAAATAATGTAATCCTGTAATTGAAATCTATGGTAATTTATGAACATCTTCAAAAAGTAACTTTGGAAAATAATAAAAGTTAGGTGATGATGAGCACAAGTACCTAATACACTCATACCCAAGATGGTTATAATAATTTATTCTAAAGGTTTTTAATAATTTTGATGATCTTCTCGTGCTATAGAAAATTCATAATTTAGAAAAAGAATACTAAACACACATGCATGCACGAACAACAAAATAGTGGTGTTAAATCTATAGGGACTAAGCATTAGTCATGATAATGTTTAAATAACAAACATTTGGCCAATGTAATCTAATATCGACCATAAATAATTTTAACACCCAGATGTAAAAAAATTCTATGCTTGTTAACATTACGAAAATGGGAAAGACCAGCCCATTATGCAATCAGAATAAGCCCAGTCAATTATGCAATCACCGCAAGCCCAACATAAATTATACGCAATTCGCAAACCGGCCTACTAACCCATATCCACATAATTTTGATTAGTTTATATCATCAGACTAAAAAATGTGAGTGGCTTTGGTGTCGGGTGAAAGGGAAAATTAAGATGCTGCGAGTGGGCAAAAAGAGAGTTTTGGGAACGACGTCGTTAGGCTTTAGGGTTCCCGCGCGGTTGTACCACGTGAGGGTTGTGGATCATTACCGGAAGAATTAATTGTTAAGTTCAAATGGGTGATGAATTGATTTTTGAAATCTTTTTTAAAAATGTTTTTTTTGAAAGAATGATCAATTTTTTATTAGACATATTTGATTTTTAACAAGACAATAATATAAACAGAAATGAAATGAGAGAAATGCAGAAATACAACATAAAAGTTTTCATATTAGTTCACTCTTTCTAAAAGTTACATCCAGTTCTTAACAAATTTGTCAAGTTCTACTAAAATCAAGTGAAAATACAAACCAATAGATACAAACCAATCTACCTCAAGATCTACCTTAAAACACCACAAGATAGACTATTGAAAACCACCTAGCAACCAAACTCGGTCGTTGTAACCAATGCAGATTCAAACTCAATCTACACAATCAAAATTCGTACAAGTATTGGAAAAAATAAACCTGGATAGTAGATTTCTCTTGAAGATCTTTCAACAATCTTGAAAAACACACGAATATGAAAGCTCAAAGATTACTTTTAATCGATTTCCAAATTGTGTGTTTTTTAAAAGAGAAATCAAAACTGTATTTATAGAGTAAAAGAGAAAAATTGACAGTTTTAATTGATTAAAATGATGCTTTAATCGATTGATTTCATTTAAAATTATTTTAATCGGTTAATTCGAGCTTTTAATGGATTAAAACTGCTAGAAGGAAAAATGGTAGCTCTCTGTTTTAACAAATTAAAACTCATATTAACATATTAAAAACCTGATGTACTTAAAATATGAATCATGACTTAGAATATTTTAATCTATTGATTTATCAATTTAACATATTAATACTGCGAAACCCTTAACATGAAAAAACCATCAAGAACATTTTAATATGTTGATTTTACGGCTTAATCAATTAAAATATTGGTTGTATATATACATTTCCTATTTTAAGTGATTTTAACATATTAAAACTACTTTTTAACAGATTAAAAAACTAAGTTTATTCTTTCAAAGCTTAAAGATTAGTTTTTCATGAAGTATGATAAATTTTATGAAATGCAACAGTTATAGGCGCTATTACAAGATATATTGTAATTATCAAGAGATTAATTTTTGTACCTATAACCTATCTACTTACACACCCACAAACGGAATAATGAAACTTTATATGTCTTCATCAAATTTAACAAGTGCTTCAATCTCCCCCTATTTGATGGAGACAAATATCCACTGCACCTGCATAAAAAACAACAACAGACATATGTTTTGTGATGTGTGTGTGAAGTGATAGCGTTATAGTGTTATATATGTGTTATATCATTCTTCTCCCCCTATTTGACTTCATCAAATAGATAAAAGTGTTCATATACAGACCATAAGTACCATTCAGGTACCAAAACAAAAAAAATACACAAGTAAGATAAAGCTAAAGAGATTTTATTCATCACCATCCCAGGGACCCTGATTGAATTGGATGTCTCCAATTCTGTTGTAGATATCCTTCAGCTGATTGTCAATATGCTGAAACCTAGTAATGGAATCCTCATAAAGCCGATGCTGGCGAGCTTGCAAAGCATATGTCATCTCCATGTGGCGCCTTTGATTAGTTTGAATTTCATTCATTTTGTGCAGCATAGTCCTTTCAAACTATGAAAGAGGGGTGCCACAATCAGGTGGAGCCACATATGAAATCATGTCTAACGGAGACTGCTGATCCCCAACATCTTCCATGGGATCTGCTTGTCTTGGTTCAGTTGTACTTGGAGCACCAGTGTCCTCGTCCTCTTCCTCTTCTGTATCATCATCCTCTTCATCTCTTTCGGCTTCCTCTTTGGAAATCTAGTCACCATCAATTTTTATGAACCCTATTTTATGAAGGATGGAATTGTTAATCTCATTTATGGAGCGTACAACTTCAGACATTTCCCCTTCTAGATCAACACCAAAGTGAGTGAGAAATTTAGAAATTAAAATAGCATAGGGATACCTAAAGTCACTTAGCCTCTTTGCTTTGAGCATATGGTCTTTGACAAAAAAATACCCAATTCACTCTGATTCTGTGGTGGATACAGTACATGAGAACCAGGTCACTTTCATTCAACACCACATGATTGCTCCCCCTGGGAGTAAGCTGCCAGACCACTATGAATGCAAGCAACCTTTCTTCAAGTTTAAGCTTCCCAGTATTGAAGGAACTCACAGAGTCACGCTTATTCTTCAGGCAGGAACGAAAATACTAAACTTCGTTGAAATCTTCTACAACAGTAATATATCCTTTAGTGACTTTGACCCCTTCATTCTTGAGACCAACAACATTTTTTCAAATAGTGGGAGTAACTTCAATGTCCACTCCTTTGATTTGAGTTTTAAGAGTAGAACCTTCAAATGACAAGTTAGTAAAGAAAACTTTGATAAGGTCAGGATAGATTCTACCATTGAGCTCTAAGAAGCTCTGAAGTTTCTGGTGTTGTAGTAGTTTTCGCACCCCTTTGGACCCTTCAGCATCCAACCACGAGAATTTCAGTATTTTGGGGAGATTGATCTGTTTCCTGCTCATTTCATGAATGAACAACCCCATTTTCTCTTGGTTCCCATTGAACCAAGTTTCAATGAGCCTTCCTGATATTTCTTGAGTTGTAGCTGAGGATTCACCTCTGCTGAACTTCTTTCTTCCAGATTTGGTGCGCTTGAACATGATGTTTGAGAAATGAACCAAATATAGTAAAGGGAGAATATTTTACCTTGCCAAGAGTGAACACAAGGTTTTCGAACAACTAATGAATAATAAAAGGAATGTGAGGATTCTGACTCTTTAACTACTTTGAATAGTCAAATTTGTTGTGTAGTGAGTTGCATCAGCTTGTTCCCTGTGCCAGAAACTGATAAGAAAGAAAAGAAACAATGGGTGTAGCAATTTAATCCTTTACCTACATCAGTTGAAATTTTCAAAATTTCTTCACTTTTGATCTCCAATCACAGGTTGCCAGCATGAATTACTGATGTAATTGGATAAATGTTACATTTAAGAGGGTAGCTGAAGCGGTAAAAAAATTTTGTAGTTGTAAATGCACTTAATTCAACTTGCAGTAAACAATTAGAAGCCTACAATACTAACCCTAGAAAATTAATTGATTATTTTACCATATAATCAATTAATTTTACTTAATGTGATAGAACAAATCTCAAAAGTAAAACGAATCGATTAAATTGAAGATTTAATCAATTAATTCAAAAGAAACATATGTAGAGCGAAAAAAATTTAATGAAATAAATCGATTAAAAACATATTTAATCGATTAATCTGACAATGGAATAAGAACAGATATTGAGAACCAGAAAATTAACAAATTATTTCACAAGTTTAATCAATTAAAAATCACATAGTTCGAAAATATTCCAAAGTTTTCAGAAAAAGAATCGATTAATCGAACTATTAACCTGTGAAAAAGCACAGAACCATAATAGAGAATCAATTATACAATACTAGATAGATACAAAATTCCTAATTCAGTTCTAAGCATATTAAGTCTATCTCTAGGCAGTGGTTTGGTGAACATGTCAGTCAATTGTTTTTCAGTATCAATGAATAAAATTTCACAATCACCCCTAGAAACATGTTCTCTAATAAAGCAATATCTAATTTCAATATGCTTAGTTCTAGAGTGTTGAATAGAATTTTTAGTCAGATTGATTGCACTAGTATTATCACAAACCAGAGGTACCGTCTTTAGAAACACCCCATAATCCTTCAATTGTTGTTTGAGGTAGATACTTTGAGCACAACAGTTCCCAGTTGCAATGTATTCAGCTTCTGCAGTAGAAAGAGTCACACACGCTTGTTTTTTGCTGAGCCATGATATGAGGCTGCTCCCCAGTAAGTGACATGTACCGGAGATACTTTTCCTATCCAATCTATAACATGCAAAGTCAGAATAAGAAAATTCAACAAGTTTAAGAGAAGTACCTTCAGGATACCATAGACCAACATTGATGGTTACTTTAAGATACTTGAGAATCCTTTTAGCAGAAGTGAGGTGAAATTCCTTTGGATTTGCCTGGAATCTAGCACAAAGGCAAACACTGAACATAATGTCAGGCCTACTAGCAGTGAGGTATAGAAGAAATTCAATCAAACCTCTATATTTAGTTTGATCAACATATTTCCCTTTTTCATCTAAATCTAGATAGCAATTAGTAGACATGGGAGTGGAGGATTCTTTGCAATTATGCATATCAAAATTTTTCAACAACTTATTACAATATTTAGATTGATTTAGGAAAATACCATTCTTTAATTGTTTAACCTAGAGACCAAATAAGAAATTCAGTTCTCCCATCATAGACATCTCAAATTCGCTTTGCATTTCTTTAACAATTTTATTACACAAGGCATTATTAATAGAACAAAAAATGATATCATCAACATAAACCTGCACTAGAATAATATCAGATCCAAATTTCTTAATGAATAAAGTTTTATCAACTTCACCTCGTTTGTATCCTTGATCAGTTAAGAAGTTACTTAGCCTCTCATACCATTGTCTAGGGACCTATTTTAATCCATAAAGAACCTTTTTCAGCTTGTAGACATGGTCAGGATGTTTGTGATCTTCAAAACCAGGAGGCTGAGAAACATAAACTTCTTCATTGATGAATCCATTTAGAAAGGCACTCTTGACATCCATCTGAAGCAATCTGAAACCACTAATACATGCATAAGCTAATAACAATCTAACAACTTCAAGTCTAGCTACGGGTGCAAAGGTTTCATCAAAATCAATTTCTTCCTGTTAATTATATCCTTTAGCTACTAACCTAGCTTTATTTCTAATAATAATGTCGTGTTCATCTAATTTTTTTTTAATACCCACTTAGTACCAATTATATTGATATCTTTGGTTTTAGGAACTAATTCCCACACACTATTTCTTTCAAATTGATTAAGTTCATCATGCATGACATTAATCCAATATTCATCATTTAATGCATCATTAACAAATTTAGGTTCAATTTGTGAAATAAATGTCGTATGATTGCAGAATTGATTAAGAGAATT